ATGCGTGATTGTGCGTATTGACCATCAAATTCACATGCACGCATGCGCCATGTTACGTTTTGCTACGATACGTTACGATACGGGGCTAGTGGAAAGAAGCAGTGTGCAAATTAGTTCAGAAAAAACGATGTGCAATTTTTTTGACAAAAGTGTTTCTTTACAGGCATAATCAAATAGATATTACCTTAATTATTACATAGCGCTAATTGCTAAATTAACATTTTTAAACGTGAACAAATTCATATGATTAACGATACTGTTTTTCGTTATAACCGCTGATTTTTGAACATCGTTTGAAAAAGTCATGTGCAATTGTTTTCATTTTAGTTAAAACGATGTGCAAATTGCACATTGCACACCGTTAATTCGCACACTGGAAAGAAGGCTTAAGACTATTTTTTAATGCAGGAATGCAAAAAAATATATTTAAAGAAATTTACATCTGCATTTTCAAAAATAGTCTTGATTAAGAGGTAATAAAGTGTCCATGATTGGATATGCTTCCACTTTACAATTATTGTTATTTAATATCGGAATTATGAAAATTCCTTGAAAAACAACAATGTTGGATTTTTTAAAAATATTCTTGTGTATAGGTACATGATAGGATACATTTTGTAATAAGTTTAAGCAAATTCAAGTCCATCTGTATCATTTATTATCCACACATAACCACAATTAGAACAATTCCTAAGTATTATTTTTAACAGGATCATTCTCTGATTCTTCAGGTGCATTTGAGTTCTGTAGTTCAAGAATCTTATTAAAAATTTTCTGTTCAGTTACACCTTCCCGGCGTAAAAGTCCAAAATATATAATGCAAAAAAGCATGCCAAATTTTGTCACCAATCCTGTAAAGGAGCTTTGTCGACCACTATCATAGTATAAAGTGTCATTTACTGAATGATTTTTCGCAGCAGACTTTGAAAATGCTATTGGTTCATCTTTTGAAATTTCTTCACTTGATGATGAAGAGTAATGCTTTTTAGGATAATTGTGTAGATGCATGAGTGGAGAAACAGTTCTGAAAAAGAAAAATTAGTTGAATGTTGATTCTGGCAAGTCCAAAAGATTCACAAGAATTCAAAAGATTGCATAAGCAGTACAACAGTTGCACATTTGCAACTTGTCGACATCTTGCCTACACATATAAAATCTGCATTTAAGGACATATAGCACCCCAATAATCTACCTTTTACAATTAGAAATCAACATGTGCTTAGTTGCTTTGAAAAATGACGTTGTTAGCAAATATCTCGATGGCAATTTCAAATGCACTTTCATCGCTCCAACGAAAGTCGCCATTTTGTTAACTCATTTTAGAGCGCTTTCGTTTTCTTATTTTACATTTCTTCAGTAAAATTTCCCAATAATCAATCGCGTGCCCGCGGTGCACGCTGGTATTAGCACGTGTCTTTTTCTTCCTTCTTTCTTTTTTCGACGCCATCTTGAAGTGGTCAAGATGCCCAAGCCAGTTTGTTCGAAGACGTTCACGACTGCTCGTCGTCCTTTTGAGAAAGAACGCTTGGATCAAGAATTGGGGAGTATGGGTTAAGAAATAAGCGCAAAGTATGGTGTTAAGTACACTTTGGCTAAGATTCGCAAAGCTGCTCGAGAGTTGCTGACTCTAGACGAAAAAGACCCGCGTCGTTTGTTCGAAGGCAGCGCATTGCTACGTCGTCTTGTACGTATCGGGGTTTTGGATGAAAGCCGCATGAAGCTCGATTATGTTTTTTAGGCCTTCGTATTGAAGAGTTCTTGGAGCGACGTCTTCAAACTCAAGTTGTCAAATTGGGTCTGGCAAAATCTATCCATCATGCTGGAGTTCTTATTTTCCAGCGTCATATAAGGTTGAATTGAAGTATTGATGAGTTAAAAAGCATTTTAATTGCTGCAACTCTTTTAATAATGTTGGCCAAAGGCTCATCACATTTCAATTGACAATTCTTTGATTTCAGTGTTCGTAAACAGTTAGTCAATGGATTCGCAGAAACACATTGCTTTTAGTTCTAAATCACCGTATGGTGGTGGTCGACCTGGTCGTGTAAAACGTAAGAACATGAAGAAAGGAGGTCAAGGTGGATCTGGTGGTGAAGATGAAGATGAGGATTAGGACTGGGGTGAGAAACTTCTGTTAATCACAGCGTGAATATTGAGCCATCCACACTCTCATATCTATTGGTACATTAAACAATCCTGTGTCTTCATTTTCTTAAGTTCATAGATACAACTGCACTGACACCCCCCTTTGCATGCCCAAATTAGGCCATATTTTGTCAGATTCTTTCTCTCTTCATTATCACTCATACAAAGAGGGTAACCCTTTGTCCAGTTGTTTATGATTTTAAGTTTAATTTTTACGTTCATGTAGGTCTCTCTTCATGTGAAAGCTGTCATGTGGAATATATAATTCTTACGAGACATTGTAAGTCAATCAATAAATTTTGATGCACAATTCAATGTTCTGTTCTGATTTTGCTGTGTATATTATAGGTGAAGAGAGAAATAATCTTAATGCAGTTACAAAATTAAATTTTAGTGACATATTTATAACAATAGGATGTGCCATAAAATTATAAAACCTAAGGATTTGCCAAGAGCTGAAATTTTGTGAAGTATGTACAAATTATTGTATATGCAATCAAATTGTCAAGTTTGGATTAAATCCGTGTCGGATAATCCATGATATAAGGAAGAAACTTTTAAATTTTAAAGAATCTTTGCAAGAAGCAACATGTTAATCAGATTGAAGATCATGGAGTCTGGTAAAGATTAAGGATTACAAAATAACAGTCCCAGTCTCCCAACGCTGTCGTGTAAATCTAAACAATAGTATGAAACAATATTGAAACAAAGCAAAGAAAAGATTTTACGTTTTTATTAGTTGACTAAGTTGACGGAAGCTTAGTACTTTCCCCGTGTTTCAAAAAAATTCAGTAAACTACTGTGAAGTAAACATATTAAAAATGGCTCTTGAAAATACGGTCCAATTATCCGAGAAATACGAAGCAGTTATGGTTCTCAGTGGAGTGGGGGATGCTCTAGGTTATAAGAATGGTTTGTGGGAATTCTGTTACAGTGGTACTCAAATTCATGAAGAACTAGAAAAACTCGGAGGACTTGATAAAATTGACATTAAAGGATGGAGGTTTAGTAACGACACTGTACTACACATTGCTACAGCAGAAGCGTTGGTTTCTGAATAGACAACAACGGAAGAGTTATTGAGCATTATGGCTACAAAGTACAAGAAGACATGTGCTGAGGATATGTGGAAAGAGCTCCTGGTCAGACCACAACAAAGGCATGTTTCATGTTACGACCTTTTGAGGAAAAAAGTTACATTATACCATTTAATGAGCGAGGTGGCGGATGTGGTACAGCTATGAGATCCATGTGCAAAGTTTTGATGTTTCCTTGTGAAGATCAAATTGAAATGTTAATTGAAATTGCTGTTGAAAGTGGAATGATGACTCATAATCACCCCACAGGTATTCACCTTTCATAATAAAGCAACGATTTCAGATCATGTATCATTTATCAAGTCGCTAATGTCTAGTGTTTTGTCTATCGACAAGTGTTGCTTTGTATAAAGTTTGCTAGGTTTTCCTGTTATCTGCATTTCTTTTCATTTTGACAAACCTTTATAGTAATTTAGCTTTTCAATCCTTTTGCTTTTCTTAGATGTTTTGTACCATCAACTCTTCCTTCGATTACTTACATGATCAAGCCATTACCATGAATGTTTCATATCCTTTTATCTAATATCAATTTATAAATGAAATAAAAGAAGGTTGACCTTAGGTTTGCATAAGTCTATGCAATCCATCATTTTCTAGAACCACATCTCAAATGCCTCCATCTTTCTAACATTGCTTGCTTTTAAATGACCATGTCTTTGATCCATCATTTTTATCGCTTTTCCACATTTCCAAATTTCTGTCTTCTAAAACTGTATGAATTGCCATTGCTGTTTTGCTTTAATATCTTCACTACTACAGCCATTGAATCCATGATCCATATCAAAATGCCGTTATTATGTAAATATGGTCATCATAATGTAAGTGACCTGAAATTAGCAATCTTTAAACATAATGATTTTATGTTAGGTTATCTTGGGGCTGTTACTGCAGCTTTATTTACAGCCTATGCTATACGGAAAATACCTCCAAATACAGAAGATGTTTCCAAAAAGTTGGGGAGCAGGAGTATTAAATGTTTTACCCAAAGTTTGGGAATAACTTGAGAAGGTTGGTGGTGATGTAGAAGAAAACAAGAAATCTTGGGGCTACTTTAAAAATAGTTCGGAGTCATATCTTCAACTACGGGGATTAATAAATGGAACCAGTGAGCCAAAGTTTCCAGTGACATATAACATACCTGAACGTGATGCTTTTTATAAATCTGTCAGTTATGCAGGTTGGGGTGGATGCAGTGGTCATGATGCACCAATGATTGCTTACGATGCTTTGATGATGGCAAAAAATTCCTAGTTTCGATTGTGTTCTTGTTCTATGTTTCATGGTGGAGATAGTGACAGTACAAGAATATTGGCTGCAGCAAGGTGGGGTGGTATGTATGGTATGAAAGGTGTACCCCTTGGAAATTATAGGAACCTGGAATTTGGTCATAGGCTTATGGAGCTGGGTAAAAATTACTGAATGTATCAAAGAATATGAACAACTAACAGGATAGTATTTATTTAACAAAATTCTGTCATCCCAATATACTTTAGTATGTTTGTAAATCATACAATAAAAATTACTACTTGGTTATAACATAAAAACAAATTACTTTAGAAATAAAGTCTAAAGAAGAATGTCAGATTCAGGGCATGGGCAGTTCTAAGTTCTACTTAAGGTGATTCCCAGCTGTAGAGTAAGTTTATTGACTAGATATCAGTGAAACTATATATAGACAAGGATCATTACATCTTTTGGTTCATTTTACCTCACAAAATGCAAATTGCAAACGTTTTATTCACCACCAAAAATACCTTCTTAGGGAGAGGGAGCTGATTTGGCAGGTGGAAGCCTTGCTCCTACAGTCTATGTGTTAAAAATAGGCTTAACATATTTTAGAAGGCAAAATTTTCTTTGAAACACGTAGCTACCAAAGAGCAACTGTAAAGCTTTGTCATATTCTCGAGTTTCATAATACATCACACCTAGATTGTTTAAAAGACTTAGCAACATCAACCTGACTAGTTCCTCACGATTGCTTCTGAATTTCCAGAGCTTTTTCGTAAAACTCTATAGCTTTGTCGTAGTTCTCAGTTTTATAATACACACTACCAAGATTGTTTAAAGACTGAGCGACATCAACATGATTTGGACCTAACGATTGTTTTCGTATTTCCAGAGCTATTTCATGAAACTCTATAGCTTTGTTGTAGTTTCCAGTTTCATGCAACACCGCACCAAGATTGTTTAAAGACATAGCGACATCAACATGATTTGGACCTAACGATTGTTTTTGAATTTCCAGAGCTTTTTCGTAAAACTCTCTAGCTTTGTCGTATTTTCCAGTTTCATAATACACATTACCAAGATTGTTTAAAGACTTAGCGACATCAACATGATTTGGACCTAACGATTGTTTTAGAATTTCCAGAGCTTTTCGTAAAACTCTATAGCTTTGTCGTAGTTTCCAGTTTTATTATACACATTACCAAGATTGTTTAAAGAGATAGCGACATGATCATGATTTGGACCTAACGATTGTTTTCGAATTTCCAGAGCTTTTTCGTAAAACTCTATAGCTTTGTCGTAGTTTCCAGTTTCATAATACACATTACCAAGATTGTTTAAAGACCAGCGACATCAACATGATTTGGACCTAACGATTGTTTTTGAATTTCCAGAGCTTTTTCGTAAAACTCTCTAGCTTTGTCGTATTTTCCAGTTTCATAATACACATTACCAAGATTGTTTAAAGACTTAGCGACATCATCATGATTTGGACCTAACGATTGTTTTAGAATTTCCAGAGCTTTTTCGTAAAACTCTATAGCTTTGTCGTAGTTTCCACTTTTTTTAAACAATAAACCAAGATTGTTTAAAGACATAGCGACATCAACATGATTTGGACCTAACGATTGTTTTCGAAATTCCAGAGCTTTTTCGTAAAACTCTATAGCTTTGTCATAGTTTCCAATATTATTATACACATTACCAAGACTGTTTAAAGACCAATCAACATCAACATGATTTGGACCTAACGATTGTTTTTGAATTTCCAGAGCTTTTTCGTAAAACTCTCTAGCTTTGTCGTATTTTCCAGTTTCATAATACACATTACCAAGATTGTTTAAAGACTTAGCGACATCATCATGATTTGGACCTAACGATTGTTTTAGAATTTCCAGAGGTTTTTCGTAAAGCTCTATAGCTTTATCGTAGTTTTCAGTTTTTTTAAATACGATACCAAGATTGTTTAAAGACGCAGCGACATCAACATGATTTGGACCTAACGATTGTTTTCGAATTTCCAGAGCTTTTTCGTAAAACTCTCTAGCTTTGTCGTAGTTTTCAGTTTTTTTAAACAATAAACCAAGATTGTTTAAAGACGCAGCGACATCAACATGATTTGGACCTAACGATTGTTTTGAATTTCCAGAGCTTTTCATAAACTCTATAGCTTTGTCGTAGTTTCCAGTTTTTTAAACACAATACCAAGATTGTTTAAAGACGTAGCGACATCAACATGATTTGGACCTAACGATTGTTTTTGAATTTCCAGAGCTTTTTCGAAACTCAATAGCTTTGTCGTAGTTTCCAGTTTCATAATACACACAACCAAAATTGTTTAAAGACGTAGCGACATCAACATGATTTGGACCTAACGATTGTTTTTGAATTCCCAGAGCTTTGTCATAAAACTCAATAGCTTTGTCGTAGTTTCCAGTTTCATAATACACATTACCAAGATTGTTTAAAGACGTAGCGACATCAACATGATTTGGACCTAACGATTGTTTTTGAATTTCCAGAGCTTTTCATGAAACTCTATAGCTTTGTCGTAGTTTCCAGTTTTATAAAACTCATTACCAAGATTGTTTAAAGACGCAGCGACATTAACATGATTTGGACCTGACGATTGTTCTTGAATTTCCAGAGCTTTTTCGTAAAACTCTATAGCTTTGTCGTAGTTTCCAGTTATATACACATTACCAAGATTGTTTAAAGACGCAGCGACATCAACATGATTTGGACCTAACGATTGTTTTTAATTTCCAGAGCTTTTTCATAAACTCTATAGCTTTGTCGTAGTTTCCAGTTTCATTATACACATTACCAAGATTGTTTAAAGACCAGCGACATCAACATGATTTGGACCTAACGATTGTTTTTGAATTTCCAGAGCTTTTTCGTGAAACTCTATAGCTTTGTCGTAGTTTCCAGTTTCATAAACACATTACCAAGATTGTTTAAAGACGTAGCGACATCAACATGATTTGGACCTAACGATTGTTTTGAATTTCCAGAGCTTTTTGAAACTCTATAGCTTTGTCGTAGTTTCCAGTTTCATTAAACACATTACCAAGATTGTTTAAAGACGCAGCGACATCAACATGATTTGGACCTAACGATTGTTTTGAATTTCCAGAGCTTTTCATGAAACTCTATGGCTTTGTCGTAGTTTCCAGTATCACTATACACATTACCAAGATTGTTTAAAGACGCAGCGACATCAACATGATTTGGACCTAACGATTGTTTTTGAATTTCCAGAGCTTTTTCGTAAAACTCTATAGCTTTGTCGTAGTTTCCAGTATTATACACATTACCAAGATTGTTTAAAGACGCAGCGACATCAACATGATTTGGACCTAACGATTGTTTTCGAATTTCCAGAGCTTTTCATGAAACTCTATAGCTTTGTCGTAGTTTCCAGTATCACTATACACATTACCAAGATTGTTTAAAGACGCAGCGACATCAACATGATTTGGACCTAACGATTGTTTTGAATTTCCAGAGCTTTTTCATGAAACTCTATAGCTTTGTCGTAGTTTCCAGTTTCAAACACCGCACCAAGATTGTTTAAAGACATAGCGACATCAACATGATTTGGACCTAACGATTGTTTTTGAATTTCCAAAGCTTTTTCGTAAAACTCCATAGCTTTGTCGTAGTTTCCAGTTTCATAATACACAGCACCAAGACTGTTTAAAGACGCAGCGACATCAACATGATTTGGACCTAACGATTGTTTTCGAATTTCCAGAGCTTTTTCGTGATGGTTTCTAGCTTTGCTATAATTCCCAGTGTCATGGTATAAAAGACCAAGGATATTAAAATACCAAGATTTGTCATAACTAGATTTAAATTTATCCAATAGTTCTAGAGCGAGATCGTATTTTCCAAAATGTCTTAATCTGTCAACAAAATATTGGAAAACTTGTAAAGTATTCATGTTGATTTTTGTCTTGTTGGTCTTTAATAATTGAACAATTTTTTCAAGATGTGGCATTAATTTGATTTCGTCGTCTCTCTCTTTAAACATGTAAAGTGCTTTAGATATTTGATCAACGTTAGTTTCAATTTCATGTTCCTCATTTGAATGTTCAGATTGATAAACAATAATTGCTTTGTGAACAATGCGATGTAGACTAATGTCATTATTTTCTGAATGCAAGAACAATGAGCATTCGTCTAAGCAAAGACATATATCTTCCTTTGAGTGTTTGGGATCATTTTTTTTAACATAATAAATCAAAATTTCTCGTGGTATAGGATCAAATGATATCATGGAGAAAAAGCTAATAACAAGTGCCAATATTAAGGATTCTTCTGCATTTTGTTTGACTGCTAAAAGTGAAGCTTGTAACATACTTCTAGGATATACCAAGTTGTATTTTACAAATGTGGCGTACATGTTTTCTTGTTCTTCTGAAGATATTTTCTTTAAATATTGACTCCAAGTAAATGAACAGTTTGCTTTGTTTACACGACTGACATAATAACCAGTAGCAGCCAAAGCCAGCGGTTGACGATCTAATGCGTGCGATACTTCATTCAACAATTGATCATCAGCATTTTCATCTTTAGTGTAAGATTTCAGCAATTGACAACATTCTCTGTGATTCATTCCACTACTGATGGAAATATGTTTGCTGGACATTTCATCGTGAGGTACGGCATCTGTATTCTGAACAGTTATTATTAGTTGTCCATTTTTCCACATGTGATCACCTACTTGTGGTAGTAACGAAGAAATTTCGCTCAGTTGCACAACGTTGTCGACAATGATCAACCAATTTTGCCAGAATTTCAATCGAGCAGATACTAACGATCGAAGGTTCTTGACTTTCTCTTTGGCGGAAAAATTTTCATCTTTAAATTTTCTAACCATAAACTTGTTACAGTTTAAGCGGTATCCAAGGTCACAGTAAGATTTTAAAAGAGATTCTACATTCTTCCCATCGAGAGTCATTACAAACGAAGTTCTATTTTCCCAATCACACGATATTTTTTCACAAACCTGTCTCGCAAGTTGCGATTTACCACTGCCAGGATTACCAGTGATGTACAAATATGTCAGTTTGTTATTGTTATCATTCCTTAATTTTTCAAGATCGTTTATGATGTTATCTTGTAATTCAGTGCGTTCAACGATAAAATGATTGGGTTTTGAAGGAAGCACTTGGAACGAATTAAAACTGTTACGATGATTTTTTATTTTATTGATTTCATTGAGAGAAAATTTCAAATCTTGAAATGATTTTTCAATGATATTGACTATATCATCAAAATCATCATCTAAGCATTCCCTTTCATACCAATGTGCGTACTTGTTTCTTTCACAACAAAGTGCATGAACAGCATCCTTTGTTTTTCTGTCAAGGTGCTTTCCAATTGAATTTGAAAAAATTATTGCATCAAATAATATCGTACAGTCCCACTTACTGGTGTCTCCATCCTGATATTTTTGTCGTGTTTTTTGGCCTAATTTTCTTCCTAATTCTAAAGTGTAAAATTTTTTACCACTATTTTTGGCATCGTCCCATTCTCCTTGTGTTGATTTGTAACGAGAGTTCCATTCTTTGATGAAAAATTGAGCAAGTTCCGTTTGTATCACATTGATTATTTGCTGAATGTATAGTAGATTTCTGCTTTCTCTTGATTCCATCTAAAAAAGAGCATGATGTATCAACAAGACAGTTAAAATCATCAATTTGAAAGTTCGACCTACATCATATATCACTCTTCGTTAAAGTCGAGGATATACATGATGAAATCAAACTTATTTATTCGTTAATAAATTCAACTTTACCAAAAGCATGCACTTAATATAAATTGAGACATAGACAACTACTAAATGGCAGAGATAATGCTACAGCTTTTGCCAATTATAGCAGCTTTTCAACAAAATATAAAAAAACAACATGATATTCCACTGGATAGTACATGTGACTTGTTACAAGACAGACATTGCTGGTGCCAGATTTTTATGTCTCTGGATCGTCGATGTCAAATATCGTTTGTAATGGCGAAATCCAAGTTAGAAATGGTAGAGATACCTTTGTACTTGACGGTATTTCTATACATCAGTTGATTGTTACTTGACACGTTAATTCACACTTTAACTTACATACCTTAACTGACATGCGTGGCATTCAAAATTAGACTATTTAATTTAACTTGTTTTGTAGGAATTAAAACAGCAAAGAAAAAAGCACCCATCTAAAAACACCAATAGGTCTAATATGTGAGGTGAATGTTGATCAAAGTGGACTTAGTAAAGAAAAAATCGGTATGGTGTAATAAGTGATAAGGGAAACAGTTTCTTCAGCAAAAAGTGGAAAGACTTGCTTCTAGAGATAATTTACAATATTAAAATAGCCTTGTCTTGAATTGACTAATGCTACGAGTTTATTTTACAAAACCTTGTTACTAGCACATGTTGGAAAATAAACCATCATAATAATTCAGGTCACGTGACGTGAAGTAAAATTGATTACTGTTAACCAATGAGATAATAGCGCAGGGCATGTTAAGAAAAGTTTCATTTTTTTCAAGGGTAATCTAGTTGAATATCGTAGCGAACTGTGATACATTATGTTCTTTAAACGTACGACACTTTGCGTTGTAAATTTCGTGAGACTTTTCGCAGATTCATACCGGGGAGGCAGGTAACTTGCGAAACGCAAAAGCTTTTTTGCTTCTGAGAATTTTGACAGCAAAATATACAAAGATGCAAAACGTTAAAGGAATGTTACAGAATGATGCAGATCTAATACTAAATACAAAAAAAAGATAAAAAGACTCACGCTGCTCACTGATCATTTAGGGTGAAAGGAAAAAAGGACTAGAGCAAAAACAAAAGTGAACACCAGCATTCTTATAAATGAATATGTCACTCACGAGGACATTTTACACCTATTGTCTACAAAAAAGAACAATTTAATCTGTTACTTCCACTACAAAGGAAAAAAGTCAGTACATGGTGCTAAAAAAGATGATAAAGAAAAAATTGATTAGGTGGCGTTTATCACAAATAAAAAGAGAATAGATTTGATTGGATAATTAATTCTGGTGCCACTTAGCATATGAAGTGTGAACATGACTATTTATCGGACTATGAAGAGTTGAGAAAGCCAACGAAAGTAATTCACGGGGATGAACGTTTAATATTGGTTTATGGGAAAGGAACTTACCGCGTGGCCATTGATTTAAATAAGTCACATCAACGTAGCGTAATCTGGAGCAAAGTGCAACATTTCCCATTGAAAATAAAATATCTGAGCCGTTAAACGAAGCTTAAATTTAAGAGTCAGCCAGTGGCTTCTCCGTGATGTATGTCATGTAAGAAAAGTAAAATTCAACACATTTTTTTGAAACAGAAAATATAATGACAGAGCAAATTTTAATTGGTTCAACAAAGTTCTGTTGGGTTAACAGGTATTTTGAATTATTTTGTTTAATACGATCAGTTGCGTGCTAGGAACACTGCGTCTACTAGCTGCTACTCCATATACACAAAAAAGAGAGTCGTGTTTGGGAGTCCGAGGGTAAATGCTCTCAGGGAAAATTCTTTATTAAGAAGCCATTTCATGGACTTTGAGGAGTGAAATCATTCCAACCGTATAATGCCAAATGCGTTTCTCCAATACAATTTTAAAATTTGATGCCCTTATTCCTTACAGCGCCTCTTAAAAATAAACATCTGAGGGAGCCACGGCCCCAGCCCCCCCCCCCGTCCAGCACGTCACTGGAAGGATGTTGGTAATTTCTCCACAGTTTTTTAGCGTGGATGCTGTTGCTTAAACTGAAACATCATTTTACTAAAAAATGCCTTTGACAACTTTTATATTTGAGATTTTAAATACCGTACTTTTAAAAGTCAGGGTTCTTCTGTCGATGACTATGAATGTACAAGCTTCAAATGTTTTAAGATTATCTGTGTTGTGGAACAGTTATATTAAGTAAAATTGAGAATTGTGTGTCGACTGCGCGTAAAGTAGGATAGTAAACAGTCTCAAGAACGAATTGGCAGACGCATAACTGCTTTGTGCTAACGTGCAAAGGAGAAAATTGCTACACGTGGTCCTTCGAGTCGGAGATATTTTAGTTGGAGATCTATTTGGAAATTCAAGTTAGTTAGTCCAATAGCAGAATGGATGAATTTATGAAAAAGAAACGAGCGCGCGCAGGATATAGAGAGTCAGCGAGGAAAATTGCTAGTAAATTAAAAAAGAAAATACGAGAAACGAACGGCGAGATCGATAGAAACGAACTGAGACAACTACGAGATGGATAGAACGACAAGATCGCAACATTGAAAATCCTTGATGACGCGATTATCGATATGCTGAACAAAAACAATGAGGAAAATGCGGAAGAAGAATTGGGAAAAGAATTTAAAGATGCGGACGAGATACAGGCAGAATTTGAGCAAGGATTTTGGATGTGAACGACATCGTCAAGGAGTCTAATGTCCCAGTTGAAACGGCAACAACGACATAAAATGGCACGCTGAACAGCAGTTTAAGTAGTGAGACGCGCAGAGTTATAAGAGCAAAACTCCTAAATGTGGAAGTAAAGAAATTTAGCGGAGGGCTGCAAGAATAGCAAGAGTTTTTGGATTCGTTTGATAGTACGGTGAATAATAATGACGGATTGGCTGACGTAGACAAGTTTGCGTATTTAAGGAGTCTTCTACTGGAACCTGCAAGATCGACAATACCGGGATTTACCCTAACTTTAGCGAACTATCACGAAGCTGTAGTTTCTTGAAACAAAGATAGGGGAAAAAGAATGTGATGAAGAAAGCGCATATCTAGGAGTTGATGAACATAGAACCCGTAACGGACGAAGGAGACATCGACAAGCTTCGGCTGTTATACGACCCCTGCGAGACAAGCTACCGGGGTTTAAAGGCCTTAGGAGTGGACAAAGCCGTATATACTTCTATCGTAATACCGGAAGTCATTTCGTAATTGCCGGACGCTTTTAATTGACAATAACAAGAGGTTCGATTTAACAGAATGGTCAATGAAAGATACGTTGAACGCAATTCTTAAAGAGTTGGAGCTTCGAGTAGCTCACACACCGATCGTCGAGAAAACGAAGAGACAAGATTGGGAGAAACAACGAGAAACGTCGCGACAAAGACATATGGGGTCAGCATCAACACTGCACGCGAAGTATGAGAGTTGCAACGAGGTGTCAACGAACGGTAAAGCGAAAAGAAAATGCGTTTATTGTCTCGGGGAACACAATCCAGAGGAATGTAAGAAAATAACCAATGTAACTGAGAGAAAACAACTCATTCGTAAGTACGGAAGATGTTTTATTTGTTTGAAGAAAGGAATTAATGAATTGTAATAGTAATGATAAATGTAATGCTGTGAGAAGGGCCCACCATAGGTCAATTTGTGAAGCCAATGGGATTCTTACAGGCGATGTTCAAACCAACCATTCTATTCTGGGATCACATTGTAGGGTAGCATTACAGACAGCACAGGCTTTCATTAAGGGAGATAAGGGACGTGTTAGGGTCAGAGTGTTGTTTGATTCAAGAAGTCATTTGTGAATAGAAAGATTATACAGAGAGCAGGTATTCAGGCTAGTAGAAAGGAATCAAGATGTTTGGTCAAGAGAAGGCTAAAGTAAGTTGCGAGAAGTATTTCAATTAGAGTTGTCGTCAGTTACGGGGGGGGGGAGAGTGTAAGCATCGAGGCATACAGTGTAGACTGTATATATCAAATTAGGAATGAACATGTAGAGTTGAGAATGGTGGATTATTCACATTTAAAGGGTCTGTGGTTTTCAGATGTTTGCAAGGATAAGGAAGTTTTAGGTATTAAAGTTTTGATTGGGGCAGATTATCATTGGTGGTTTCAGGAAGGCAATGTTGTTTGGGGACAAGTAGATGAACCAGTTGCTGTGTCTACTAAGTTAGGTTGGGTGTTGTCCCCCCATGAAAGGAGAAATGATTTGATAACATGCACACTCAAGTAAACTTCATTGCATGAAAGTTCAGAAAATTTAAGTTTAGATAAGAATTTCAACCGTTTGTAGGATTTTGAAACTTTAGGAATAGCAGAGGAAGATGAAGTTCATGAATCGTTAAGGGATTCTATTGTGTTTAATGGTAACAGATACAGTGTCAAATTGCCTTGGAAAGAAGGACATAGTTTAGATTATACAATTTACAACATAAGCTTGAGAAGATTAAAGGGTCAGTTAGTACTGCTGAAAAGGTAACCAGAAATTTTAGAAGAGTATAAGACAACCAAAGATCAATTGAGGAATAGTATTATAGAACCAGTGATAGAACTAGAGCAAGCTGATAAAATACATTATTTACCACATCATGTGGTTATTCGCAGGAAAGCGAAAACAAGTAAGGGAAGAGTTGTTTATGCTGCGTCGTGTAAAGAGTCACCCAGAGCTTTCTCGCTCAATGACTGCTTGCATGTGGGACCCAAATTAGCACCATTGCTCTTTCATTTTTTGATAAGGCTTAGAGAGAAGAGAGTCGCTTTAGTGGCAGATATTGAAAAGGCACTTTTGAATATAGAAGTTGATACTTTGGACAGGGACTGCCTGATATTTTATGGGTTGATGATGTAAACAATGAGAGGGTGAAGCCTGTAGAATATTGATTTTGTAGAGTAGTGTTTGTGTTAACTGCTCTCTATTTTGTTGAATGCGACACTGCAGTATCATTTAGACACATTCATAGAGATGGAACAAGCAACTGTTAAAAACTCAAAATTAGCTTTTATGTCCAGGATCTAGTGTCCGTGAACAATCCAAGAAGAAAGGAATGAGGTTGTATGAGTCAGCAAGTGAACGATTGGCTGCAGGAGGATTTAGGCTTAGGAAGTGGCTAAGTAACGATGAGAATGTTTTGAAAGAAATAGAATAGAGAGAAAGAAGCATTTTGAGGAAAGAAGGGCAGAATTAAGTAATTCAAAAGTGGTTGATGAGCAAACTTATGCCAAAGCATCAGTTGGGGAAAATAGTATCAGTGGAAGTTTTGAGAAAGTACTAGGATTGGGATGGGAGTGTAAGTAGGATCACTTTGTATTTAGCCTCTGGAAATTGGTGAAAGAGCAAAGGCTATCATACCAAGTAAATGAAATATACTAAGTATACTTGCAAGATTATTCGATCCCTTAGTTATTATAAGTCCAGTTGTAGTTTGTGCTAAGTTATTGTTTCAGGAGCTGTGTATTGAAATCTGAATGGGATAATGAGCTGGAAGGTGACAAGAAAAACGTTAGGAAAGGTGGATGGTGATTTAGAGAGAGTCAGGGATTTAGTTGTGGCGAGATGTGTGTATGGTAATTTACATGGTAAGGTAAAGTTTTACTTGCATGGGTACGCAGATGCCAGCCAAAAGGCATACTGTGCGGTCGTATATTTTGTGACAGAGCTAAATGGTGCCTACCACGTAGAGTTGCTTACGCCGAAAACAAGGATAGCGCCAATAAAATTGCAGACAATTCCCGGACTAGAAGTGATGTCACCTGGAATATTAGCACAGTTGATGGACACAGTGAAGTTGGCCTTAGAAGGTTACGTTCAATTTAATGGTACAAAATATTGGTTGGACAGTATGACTACATTGTGCTGGATCGGTAATAGGGGAGAATGGAAACAGTTTGTGCGCCATAGAGTTAGCGAGATTTTAAGATTGAGCAGGAAAGATAAATGGAAACATTGTCGGGTGTAGAAACCCAGCGGATTAGGTTCAAGGGGTTTACGGCATCACAATCAAAGGAAAGTGAACTTTAGTGGAAGGGTCCGAAGTGGTTGTCAAGTCCCAAGTGTGATTGGCCAATGCCAAAGAGGTTAAAACAACAGACGAAAGTCTTGTGGAAGTCGGGAAGACAGTATTAGCTAACACACAGGCGGTAGATAAAGATTGTGTGATAAAATTTGCAAATTTAGTCAAATTAAAGTATACATCGCATTATTTTCCTTCTGTGTTTCAAGAACAATTTGTCTTGATTTAGTTGATAGTTTATGTGCACGCTGTTTATTGAATTGTATGCGAAGATTTACTGCTAGAATGGGAGCACCCTCCCAAATAGTTTAGGACAACGCCAAAACATTTAAAGCAACTGAGAAAGCGTTGAAGGGGATTTATGGAAGTAAGGAGGTAAAATCTTGATTGGAAAGTAATCGGTTGATATGGAAGTTTAATTTGGCGAGGACACCCTGGTGGGGTGGATTTTTTGAGATAATGGTAGCATTGGTGAAAGGTTGTCTGAGGAAGGTGTTATGTACGCTAAATTGAACAAGGAAGAATTGTTAACAACATTAGTTTTCCAAGGTACGTTAAACTCTAGACCATTGACTTATGTATATGAATATGAAGTGAATGTAGATGTACTGACTCTTGCACATCTTATGTTTGGAAGAAGATTATTTCTTCCAGACGAAGGAATTCTGCATACTATTAATGACAAAGATGCAGGAGTGGTCAAGCGTAGTAGGTTTAGGTATTTAGCGAGATTGAGAAAGCATTTTTGGTCCTGGTGGAGGAAGAAATACAGCGTCTTACATGTAGAAAATACAATCATGCTATTCTTCCTCATCAAACTTTTTAACAGGTTTTACTGTTTTTACCTAACATGCAGCTTATGGTCAATAATTAAAAAGTTGGTATATCAACTTAGACATGGTTTCTCAGGCATGTTTATCCATACTTCATCTATAGATGTTTCTTTAGCTAATTTGTTAAGTCCGTAATGTGGATATAAATCTCGCTTTACTTTTGTAAAATTACCTTTGTTTTAGAAGTAAGTCTTCATATCTGATGACCTCGTCGTCCTAATTAAGCTTGCTTTAGTTCTTTACATGTCACATACCTAACAAAAAGAGAGATTTATTAAAAGAACGCGACCACATACATATCAGTTTAAAAATGGTGATCATAATTCATACCTTATTGTTTCATCAATCTTTTATCCATGTAAGTTTTGTTATATAAACACATTTAAATAGCGAACGAAGATGAAGAGTGAGTCAGGATCTCTTTCATCAAACAGTATTATAAAACATTAATGACGCCTATTTAGAACATTCTAGTTATATAACTAAGTATACATCACTGACTAAAAACAATCGTTATAGAAGTAAAAATACATTAATAAGAACCTCATGCAGAGTACATAATAACATTGAGATTAGTCAAATTCCAAAGGACCACTGCTAAATCTTATAAAGTTTCACAAGTTTTAACTCAGGAATAGAGAATCATCTATCTAAAACAGGATGCCAATGATTAAGGCACGATTTTGAAACTGTGAATGGATTTTTCCTTCATTAATGAAAATTCCATACATGTATATTATTGCAAAGTCAGTTCTTATTATAAAAAATCTTTGTTATTAAATAAACCATTGTAAATTACAAATACATGGCAAACATCAATTGCACGCAATTATAATTACTTATGATCAATAAAGACACTGTGGATACAACAGTAAAGGATGCAATGAAAGTAAACCTTAAAATAGTTAAACATGATCAAAAGTATAAGTTTAAAAGCTCACTGTGTTGCATGAATGAACATTTCACAAAAATAGATTCGGTTGCGTCTTTCTCTGTGTAAACACATTCTTCCTGTGTTCAACATTTGCTTATATTACAAATGTTCTTACTTTTAAAATGAAAGGTTTGCTTAATACAATTAACAGCATTTTGTTAGACTCACAGCGATTAGTCAAAAGTGGCGTCAGCAAAGAAGGGAGGTGATGCATGATTGGACATGTGCTCCCCCACTTTACATAAATTTTTACAGATCCCCTTTTTTCCATAGACAAGTATAGTTTATAAAGAAAAATTCAGCGTGCTACATGTAGAAAATGTTCTCATGTTATTCTGCCTCCCCCATACTTTTGAACAGGTTTTACTGTCCTTTACCATGCAGCTTATTGTCAATAGTTAGAAAGTTGGTGTATCAACTTAAATATGATTTCTCATGAATGTTTAGTCATACATTATCGAGATGCTTCAGTAGCAAATTTGTTATGTAAAGTTGGTAATATAGTTTCAGAATCTCGCTTTACTTTCGACAAATTACCTTCGTTTTAGAAATAAGACTTCATATATGACGACCGTGTAGACAAAATTATGCTCGCTTTAGTTCTTTACATGTCACATATTTTACAAAGATAAGAGATTTAATATGAAGAACGCGACCACATGCATAGCAGTTAAAAAGTGGTGATCATAATTCATACCTTATTGTTACATCAATCTTTTATCCATGTAAGTTTTGTTGCATAAAGAGATTTAAATAACGAACGAAGATGAAGAGTGAGTCAGGATCTCCTTCAACAAACAGTATTATAAAACATTAATGACGCCTATGTAGAACATTCTAGTTATATAACTAAGTATACATCACTGACTAAAAACAATTTTTATTGAAATAAAAATACATAAATAAGAACCTCATGCAGAGTACATAATAACATTGAGATTAGTCAAATTCCAAAGGACTACTGCTAAATCTTATAAAGTTTCACAAGTTTTAACTAAGGAATAGAGAATCATCTATCTAAGACAAGATTTGAATGCCAATGATTAAGACACGATTTTCGCTACTGTGAATAGAGTTTTTTCCATCATTAATGAAAAATTTCATACATGTATATTCTTGCATAAATCAGTTCTTATAAAAAACCTTTGTTATTTAATAAACCATTGTAAATTACGAATACGTGGCAAACATCAATTGCACGCAATTATATTTACTTATGATCTATAAACACACTGTAGATACAACAGTAAAGGTTGCAATGAAAGTAAACCTTAAAACAGTTAAACATGATCTAAACTATAATTCTAAAAGCTCACTGTGTTGCATGAATCAACATTTCCCAAAAATAGACTCGATTGCGTTCTTTCTCTGTGTAAACAGAAGGGAGATGATGATTGGACATACCTACCTATAAATTTTCACAGATTCCCATTTTTTCCATAGACAAGTATGATATTTCACCTCTCCCATACCTTTGAAAAGATTTTGCTTTCCTTTACCATGCAGCTTATTGTCAATAGTTAGAAAGTTGATATATCAATTTAGATATGATTTCTCATGTATGTTTAGTCATACATTATCGAGATCCTTCAATAGCGAAATTGTTATGTAAAGTTAGTAATATAGTTTCAGAAACTCGCTTTACTTTCGACAAGTTACCTACGTTTTAGAAATAAGACTTCATATATGACGACCGTGTGAACAAAATTATGCTTGCTTTACTTCTTTACATGTCACATACTTAACAAACGGATGAGAGATTTAATAAAAACAACGTGACCACATACATATTAGTTAAAAATGGTGATCATAGTTCATGCCTTATAGTAACATCAATCTTTTATCCATGTAAGTTTTGTTACATAAACACATTTAAATAACGAAGATGAAGAGTGAGTCAGGATCTCTTTCAACAAACAGTATTGTAAAACATTAATGACATCTATGTAGAACATCTATGTAGAGACAGTTAATATCAACATTCCTCACGACTCTACTCTGACCTGGACAATTTACATCTACAAACATGTAATTACAATCAAAGACGTCATGTGATATTTGGTTTAACAGAATTTTGTTAGTTGTAATACAGCATTGACCATGAACTAACCATACAGCATTGACCATGAACCAACCATACAGCATTGACCATGAACTAACCATACAGCATTGACCATGAACTAACCATACAGCATTGACCATGAACTAACCATACAGCATTGACCATGAACTAACCATACAGCATTGACCATGAACTAACCATACAGTATTGACCATGAACTAACCATACAGCATTGACCATGAACTAACCATACAGCATTGACCATGAACTAACCATACAGCATTGACCATGAACTAACCATACAGCATTGACCATGAACTAACCATACAGCATTCACCATGAACTAACCATACAGCATTGACCATGAACTAACCATACAGCATTCACCATGAACTAACCATACAGCATTCACCATGAACTAACCATACAGCATTCACCATGAACTAACCATACAGCATTCACCATGAACTAACTATAAAACAATGTACTCAAAGTTTAGTCTGATAAATTTTGTGATTTGTTAACATTTTATTTTTTACATCTGTGATGTTCAATAAGTGAAATTGGACAAAAGAATTTAAAAACCTTTTGATTTTTCCATTTTATCATCCGTTTTTTAGAATGTGGAATCTTTGTTCCTGGTTTTTGATATAAGAATTCGATGAAACATTTTTTACTAGCGTTGATTTATCTCAGTAAATAACTTTAAGAAATTACTGCATGTGTCATGTTTTTCATGCATTCGTTTGTCGAGGTATTATGGTGGGCCTGGTGGTGTCATTGCTACGCTCAGTGTACTCTCTCATCCCCACCGCCCCCAACGTTCCCCCTCTTTGTGACGTCCTGCTATTTGCCTCAAATATTTCATTTACATCATTTCCGTTGCTCATATTGGTAAATTTCTTTGATTTGTCTTCTTTGTGAGCTGCTTCAATAATACTGTCGTGTATCGTGGATATTTTTTACATGTAGAAAACACTTTGTATTTTCTCCGAACTTTCTTGATGCTAGCATGAGTGGTGAAAGTTGATATGTGGTGATATCAAGCGATCATAAGGTACTCGTGTATACATAATTTGTTAATATCTAATTATTTTTAATTATTTTTCTAATTGTCGGGCAAATAAAACTATTTTTTTACATGTTAGTTCAGTGGAGATTATGTTGAACTTGGCAAGTGTAGATATTACAAAGCAAGCAATTATTGATCGCTTGTTGGATGGAGTAAAGCAAACTAGTTTTAAAATATTTGTACGTAGTTTAAAGTTCGAACTTGGAACTTGTAATTTCGTTTCGTCTTTTATTGTATTGATTTTACTCGAATAATTTGGTCGACCTGAACCTCGTCGTTTCTTTAGTGTCAGGTACGATTTGGTAGTACAACCGAATTGGCTTCTGAGAAGGATAGCAGGTGAACTTGATATTTCTTCGATTGCATTGTATTGTATTCATTTTATTTCATAGTATAATCCTTATTTATCATAATCTTTGTATTTATGATGAATTACAGAATCTCTTGTCTTTGTGAGCAATGGAACATTGTTCTTCAATTTGGCATTAATTCCACAAAAGGATAAATTCTTTAAGGTATCTTCATCATTCCTCTCTCAATTCAGTCAATTTAAAAGCCATTCTTAAATAATTTGTTTTCATCATTTCTATATTCATTAAAGGCAGGTGTTAATGAGATCTGAAGGTCAATCTGTGTTCTGGCTATTTATCAAGGAACATCTTAGCTCTAGTGAAATAAAGACATATAATTCTTTACATAATGTAATGACAGATGTTGGTAGAGGTTGGTCAAGTTGTTGGTTTCTAAATGATTCCTGGAATGTTTGTGGGTAAAATCTTTTTGTATGCCATGAATTTGTTCTGACATTTTCCTTTCTATTTTTGATATTCATTTGACAGCTCC